GTAGGTTTCCTGTAGCTACCCTTTGTCAATTTAAGGAAATTCCCTTTTATTTCTTTTTAATTTAGAAAGAATGTGGAATTTTATCAATTGGTTTTTCTATTTCTGTTGAGATGATTATATAATTTCTCCTTTTTCAGTTAATGTGGTGATATACATTATTTGATTACTTATATAAAATCAAACGTTCACTACTGGAATCAATCAAATAATGCATTATCTTAACACACATACAAACACACACTTTTGGATTGTGGTTGTTAATATTTAAATTTTTGTATCTGTAGTCATAAGAAGATTAATCTGTAATTTTTTTCTCACATGGATTTTGTATCAAAGTTATTCTTGTCTAATAAAGTGAGGTAGGGATATCCCATTCTTCTATACACTAAGACAGTTTGTATGAAATTGAAATTATTTTTCTTTTTATGTTTGCAAACTTATTTCTTGCTTGCCTGTTTACTCAAAATTGCCAGCAATGCTGTCTGGGCTGGTTTTATTGTAGGAAGACTTTAAACTTTTGATTCAGTTTCCTTTGTGGTTATATGACTGTTTATATTTCCCATTTCTCCCTAAGTAAATTTTGTTAAGTCATGTTTTTTTCTAAAGGTTTATCCATTTCATCTGAGTTTTCAAATGCATCACAGAAAATTGTTCATAATTCCTACTTATTATCTTTTTAATCCTTGAAGCCTCCTTTTTTATTCCTAATACTGTTTATTAGTGTCTTTTCACCATTTCAAAAAATTATCTTCAGAGATATTTGTCCATTTTGTTTGTTCTGTCAAAGAATCTTGATACATTTTTTGCCCTTGTATTTTTCCAGGAACTGTTTCTACTCTCTTATAAAATCATTTCTTCTGTCAAGGAATGGCAATCAGGATTTGATATTAAACTGGACACTTGAAAAGTCACTTTTCCTCTCACAAGTATTTTAAATGCTTCTTAAGTATAAATGTGGATTCCAAGAACTCCACTTGGAAAAATAATTATGAAACCAGTATAATTGAGGATTTAGGATATTAAATGTTCCTTTGTGTAGTCTTAAGTAGGAGACAGATTGGGTGCTCATATAAACTGTTCACTACTTTACCTCCCTAAGCTTTTGCAAACAAGTCTGAACAGGTTGATTTTCAAATCCTCTACACAATCTACCAGTACAGAACACAGCAATCATCAGAAAAGGACAAACAGAACCCTGGATGCCTCAGGAGGCAAATACAAAGAGTGTGAGTTGTCTGAACATCATAGAATCTATGTGTCCAACCTTATTTTGCATCACACTCCCTTATCATTCCCCTGGGAGCTAAATGGACTCATATACATATTAGTATCCAGATAGGACCCATGCTTGCTTTGCTTCTATTCTTTCCTCTGCCTGGAATTCTTTTTTCAGATCTCTTTTGCCCAAAACACATCTATCCTGAAAATATGTGAGGGACACCTGTTAGGGTTTCTGCCTCGCCTGCGTCCTTTCTTTTTGAATCCCTTTCACTTTCTGCCCACAGTTGTGGCTTCTGCTCCTTTGTTTGCTACACGCAACCCCTCTAATCATTGCTAGCATGACCCGAGTTGACATCTGACCAAAGCTGAGACACTCAGGTCCCCTCTTCTGGTAATTTGGAGCTGGGACACAGAGTTTTAGTGAGTCTCTGATGGTCCCCCTTGGACCTAGATGGTGCAAGCCTTGGGGCTGAAGATGTCATTCTGCAGCAGCCATGCACAGAAGCAGAGAAAGCTGTTCCATAAATAGTAGTAAAGATAGACGCACAGAGAAAAGCAACGCTCGTGGACCTTAGGACTCTGAAGGACTAGTCACCTCTGTTTCGTTTGGCACCAGAGTCTGGGTTCCGCTCACTTACTAGGCTCCACTGTACTTTCCACACTTAAGTTCCATTAACAGATAAATAAAATTTTGTTGTTTTGTTTTTGTCTCCATCCTCCTTACATGCATGAGTGCAGAAATTAACCAACAAAGTGCTTTTGAGAATGTAACTTAAGGGGCACATTTGGCAAGCTTCCCTTGCCAAATACCTCAACTCCTCTAATTTGTCCTTTGACCTTTATAATTTCATTCCTTCGGATCTTGAAGTTTCTTCTTTGTTTGTTTGTTTTGTTTTTTAATTTTACCATTTTCTAGATTTTTAGTGTCTCTGGGAGCATTACATCTGAACAACTATCATTAGTTTTCATATAACTACTATCAGGTTAACTGATAGGTAGCTGACAGCATGAAATAGCAGGGAACTGTCTGATAGGACAGATATAGAATATATATTCAGATGACTTAGACCAAATTCTTAGCTGCACTATTTTCTCTGAGCATCAGTTTTATAATTTTTGAAGGGGTATTGATTACAATGCCTGCCCTGTATCTATCATAAGGATATTACATATAATTGCATTATAATTAATAAATGCTACCATCTTCTTTAGTGCTTTTGTGTGAATCAAAGAGTCAGGAAGGTGAATAAAAGGTGAAGTGAAAAAGAATGTTAATTGTTGATGACTTTGCCTAAGATTGGTGTGCAGGGCCAATTTGGCTCAAAAGTACAAAAGAAATTTAGGATGCACCTGGAGTATGTCACCTTTAATTTATCCATTTATTTAACCAACCAACAGCAAACAATTACCAAGCACTTATCCCATTTCAGATGTGGAAACAACAGAGACATAATGAAACCTGTCACACCCTCACACCCCTAGTCTAGTTTTAGAAGTCCTAGAGTTATGAATTATGTTATCTTCATTCATTGAGTTTTCTTCCATTTAACGCTTTTAAATCACTATTTCCCAAAAATGTTCAGGCCTTTAGCTGGAGAGATCCTTCTCTGTCAAAATCCCAAGGTTTTCTCAAATGATGGAAGAGATAATTTCAGTGAAAGAACCTAGAAAATTATCTGACCAATTATAAATTCTTAACATATTCATGCAAGTATTATTTATTTATTGGGTGGGAGTGGCATGGAAAGTAGCATGAATATGTGATATGGTGGAATGTATGACACTGTGGTAGTAGGCATCCAGATTATTGGGAAATCATTAAAAATTAACAATTAATACTTCTTATTTCAAAGCATCTTAAGGCACCTACACAAAGGCTACAGTACAATGATCAACATCAAATTAATTTTAATGAAAGAAAAAATATCTAGTGGATATCTTAGATGGCTATAACAAAACCAAATGTGTAAATATAATACATTACAATTTTATGCAGTTTGAAGGACACTATTTTTGTATTGTCTCTTCTTTCACTTCACATTACCTTCATCTAGTCATAAACTCCATTTGAGAAGATGACACAAAAATTCAATAAAGCAACATAATCAGTAGAATGTTTTTTGTCTGCTGTTTTCATGATCAGAAATGTTAAAGAGAGAACTATAGTAGGAATCAGAAAAATTCTGTGAGCTTGGGTAAGTCACTTAACCTCTCCAAATATCTGTAAAAATGGAAATAACTAACTTCCTACCTAATCCATGAGATTGTTGTAGACATCAAACAAAATAATTTATGAGAAGACTCTATATTTTTTCACCAAAAGTGGCCATACAAGGGTGAGATATTATTTTAGACTTCTTTTTCCTTTACATAGGAAGATTACATAATTTATTAAGTGATAAGAACAGGTTGTAAAACAATATGTTATGGCACCACTCCTCACCTGTTTAACAATGTGTCTTTTTATTTTAATTTATTATTTTACTGTTAGTTTGGTATCATCTGAGCTTCTCAGTCTACTATTTTTTCTCTCGATGTGTACCTTCCTCATTGTGGGCCTTTAAGAAGCTGCTCCACGGAATAGAAATGAATCTTCTTTTATCGATCCTGATATCTAACTGCCCAATGTAGTACCATGTAGGCTGGAGACACCCCACTCTGTCGCGTCCCGTACAGTACAGGTAGTAATGAGTGAGTGGGGACGGTGCAGGGTGAAAGAAAATAAAAGAGACGAAGAGACAAAGATAGATTTAAGACATGAGGCCAGGGGGCTGCAGTTCTCTCTCTGGAACTGAGCGCCTAATCGGACCAACGTGAAGCTTTTATTAAGAAACTTTAAATGAGTAAAGAAACTTTTTTTTAAAGTCCGTGTGATACGTGTCTTAAGGCCAGTTTTCATCAACCAGACCCATTGTACTCCAACACATGCTGTGTCTTTGTATTCTTACACTCAAAACCCCCAGGATGGTGCAGCTGCAGCTGCAGCCATGAACTAAGGGAGATAACCGACATCATTTTGCCAGGTCCCAGTTTTTTTAGGACACTCCCTTGAGGAAGCTTTACCGATATTATTTTATTGGGTCTTAGTTTTCTGAGACACTCCCTCGTGACCTTGTTAGGTCAGGGGCTGGGGGGGGCAGTCGAGGATGAGGCTGTAAGGCAACACCCCTCTTCACGATACTGAGGACAGAGTGGTGTAACCTTGTTATAAAGAGTGCCACTGTTCAGAGATTACCTGAGGATCCAGCCCTGTCTTCTGTCTGCAGGATGATTTACAGTACATGCTATAATGGGGGATCATAATGTTGCAATCAGGGGACAGAGCTCCCACTTGCATTACAGGATAAGCCATACATAATTCTGTTCACAGGATGCACCATCTTCCCTTAACGGTCTGAATAATGTAGTAGCAGAACAACAAAAGAAAGTAATTTGGAAAATAAAACCAACCTGTTATTAAACGATGCACAACGCCAATAGTTCCCGAAGTATTCCTAGTTCTTGTTACATTTTTACCTTTCTATAAGAGAAATGAGCAACAGTAATAGCTTAGGTATGCATGCCATATTGTACCTTATAAAGAGTTTTTATGAAATATACTTTAATCCCTATGGCATCTTAATAAAGTAGGAAGAACATGGTCCCATTTTAACTTTATAGAAAGGGAGATAAGATTAAAAGTAGGTTAAAAGTTTGCTCAGTATTATGTACCTCATTAGTAGTAATCGTGAATCGAATTTAGGCCTTGATTCAGTGTTTTTGGTTTTATTTTTTTCCAGGAAACATGCTCTAGACGCTTATACAACACTGCAAACATCCTGAATGGCCATTAACTACACATCCAAGAGTTCTTCCAGTTTGAAATAGAGAAGATTCTAGAGTTTCTCCACCAATGGCACAATTCTGAGCAAATTAACAGGAAAGTAACCACATCCCACAAAATAAAAACATCACTGGAATTATTTTTAAAAACTATTCTGTCAAAAGGCAAGGTTCTTGACTTTCTAATTGGATCTATATTAGTTTGTTGAGTAAAGTATCAAAGGTGTACTCATCTTTTTCAGTTATAGTTTAGTAGTTTTTGTTCTGCAGGTGGTACAAAATGTACTTGTTTCATGTTAAGAGGGAGGGTTGCATATTTGTACTGAGCTCAAAGTACATTCTTTGTTTCCCTAGTGATAAAAAACCTCAGCCATGAGGACAGCTCTGTCAACTGAAGTAGCTAATTCAGCAAAGGGAGGAAGATTGTGCTTTCCAGTTCAGAGTCTTTCTTACAGGTGCTACTACAGCCATCTTGGCAGAGTCCCATTCGTATGTGTGAACTCTGTCCTTGTTACGTGAGAGGGCAAAGCAAAAGGCACTGCTTTCATGACATCCAAGGAGCCCTTACTATTCCATGCTTATGTAATATTAAGCAGCTCTAACTAAGAGTAGGGACATGGCAGAGAAGATTGCTTTAAAGAATTGTAAAAGAAGTTTATGTGGAAAGGGTATATTGTGCATCAAGATACGTTGTCCTTACTTTCACATCATGCTGCATTCACACAGTGTAAGTAAGATGGAGATCTGGCAATTATCTAGCTAATGTAATCAATGGTGATGGAAAATCTGGTTAATTTTGCTTTTAAAAGTAGATTTTTTAGCAACACGAAGTAGAATGCCAAGAGAGCCCTTAAATGGATTTCCTTTAATATTTAAGTTAAATTGCAGTTCCTGACTTTATTTTCCAATGACCACATGATGTTTTCAATAGTAATTTTGCAATAACACTTTGTTCGTAAAGGGTCCCTTGCATTCAATTAGTTCAAAGTAGATTTGTGTACATGTAGGTTATCAGTTTCCACTCAGCCTTACAAAATGAGTATGAACTGCAAATGTTGGTAACTCGACTACCTTCACTATCCTTATTCTTTCCTGAATTCTAGCTGTGGTGATTTCTGATTTCCTTGAGCAATTTCATTTACTGTGTGTTTATGTATATTTATATATACACTGATAATTCTTCATACATTTAGAGGGATAAAATTTTCTTTCTACTTACTCTGCAGGTATTAAGCTGGACTGATCTTCTTTCATTGTTGGACTGTATTGCTTATTTTTGTCAAAATGTTTATTCACTCATTTATTTATTAGGCACATGCTAATTTTATGCAAAGCACTGAACTAGTTTTTAGGCTGACTCATGTGAAATTGTCAACATACAGCCACTTTTGACCTATAAAAAAACTTCAATCTCATAGGGTTCAGTCTGATATATAAGATACTATGAGTATTAAAAAATAAAGAAGGCTAGGGTGAGGAGGGAAGATTTGTTTTTTGGAGGTAGTGACATTTAGAGTTCAGCCTAGCATGATTAGATTTCAAGACAAATATAGCAAGGAGACTATTCCAGAACATGGAGGATACAGAAGACATGAGGAAGACTTCCATTTCTGGGACTAAGACAGACCAGTTTGTTGGGACCAATCTTTTATTAAACAATGTATTCTATATCAAATATAAAACCTCCCACAACTAAAAATTCTGGATCAAATAATTATTTTAAAAAATTTTAAATGCATCAAAGAGTTAATAAAAGAGTAAGGAATTATATAAGGCCTAGGAGGAAAATGGGGATACAGAGACTCGGTACTATTGACCTCAGGACCTTTGCCAATTTCTGCAAAGTTGACCTTTGATTTTCACATCAGGTCCCAGGGCAGGCTCAATGGGGAGAATCAAATAGGATTCTTCTCCACACTAAACTGAGATTCCAAATGGCTGCAGCACTGTATTAAGGATGACAAGAGAAAAACTCATTCTCCACCACCACCCAAAATAACTCCAGGTGTCTGTATTGATGCTAGGCAGAGCAGAGGGGAACTAAAATCTTTCCCTTAGAAGTTGTGTTTACAAATTGGTCCTTGTAAAGATGTGCAGACTACATGCAAAGCATCTAAGTAGTTCAAAAAAATATCAAGCCATAATTTTAGTTTAATTTTAATCTAAATTGGTTGGTCTTAGACTAGTGACATCTCCCAGGCACCTGACAGAAATATAAATAAATGCTTTCCGAAAAAAGGTACCTTCTTTCAAGGCCTCAAAATTTTTTCCCATATGTATCAAGGACAATATGCAGCTTATAGCCTAAAATTGTAAGGCATAGGGAGATCCGGACAAGATGGCAGAGTAAGTAAATCAACAATGTGCATACCTCCTCTTATGACCACATCAAAATTACAGCTAGTCTACAGAACAGCCATCAGAGAGAATTGCCTGAAGTCTATCTGAACCAAAGCCCTGCAAGTAAGGACATACAGAAGAAACTACCTCAAGACTGGTAGGAGGAACAGAGATGCGGAAGAGGCTGGCCCCACACCCATCTGTGAGCATTAAAAATCAGGAGGGTATCTCAGTTATGGAGATCCCACCCAGAAGTGGGAGGGATCCCAGCTCCACACTGGGCTTTCCAGTCCAGGGGTTCGGTGCCGGGGAGAGAAGTCCCATACCTTCTGGCTGTGAAGACCAGCAGAGATTGTGACTGAGTGAGACAAGGAGGGCTGAAGTTCTAGGCATTTCTCTTAAAGGGCCCACACACAAACTTACTTATTGATGGACTAACTTGATCTGAGCTCCAATGTTGGGCCATCAGCACAAAAGGCACCAGGGACAGACAGAGAGAAACTGAATTGTCTGGCTCAGGGCAAGGGCTGAAGGGGCAGCTCTCTCTTGAACAGAGGAGCTGGCAGAAGCCATTGTTTCTTTTTTGAGCCCTCCCCACTCCTGGCATTCAGATGCAGGTGGCCAACATATCTGAGTCTTCATCAACCTGGCTAATACCTTTCCTTCACCCTGATTCCCTGAGGCCCCACCCACCAAATGTTCTGATTCACCCAAGCTGCTTACAGTGGCTTTTCCATACAAACAGCATGCCTTGGCTCATGCTACAGAATTTACTGAAATCTTTCAAAAGTTCACAAAATCCAAACAAGCAGCACTTGGCTTCAGTATGTCCCATACCTCTGGCTGAGCAGCCCTAAACCTGGCACTAGTGATAGCCAGCCTTGGTTTGCAGCTTGGCCTCTCAAAACACCTCCAAGCACAGCAGAGGTGGCAGCCATCTGTGGATTGCTTTGTGGCTCATGCCAGGTGGCCCTGGGCATGGCACAGGCTGCAGCTAGACTTGGCCTGAAGTAGATTCCTCCAAGGAGGTCTCAGGGCCGACACACCCATTGCCAGCTTTGGATGAACCTGGAGTATCATCCAACAGCCTCCAAGGATGACACAACCAAAAGGCACCCTGGGCAGGCACCAGAGCCCTGCTAAAGTGAATTCTGCTCCATAGGGTCAGCCCCTGCACAAAGGCTCCTCCAGTGTAGTCACAGCCAGTCCTCATAACCAATCAGTGTGAGGGTCAGTCCCTCCTATTGAGCAGCACACACAGCATCAAGGTTCAACTACAACAAGAGGGCAAACACAACTCACACAAAGGACACACCTGGAGCACCTGGCTCTGTTGACTAGGGAGACTGTGCAACTGGACCCCACATAACACCTACTATATAAGGCCCTCTACTAAGACCAGGAGACATAGCAGCCCTATCTAATGCAAAGAAACAAATACAAAGAGGCAGCCAAAATGGGGAGATAATAAAACACGTCCCAAATGAAAGAACAGAAAAGAGCTCCAGAAAAAGAACTAAACAAAATAGAGATAAGCAATCTATTAGACACAGAATTTAAAACACTGCCTCGAAGGATGCTCAATGATCTCTAGAAGAACTTCAACAAAGAGCTAGGAAACATAAAAATGGAGATAGAAAACAAACAAACAAAAAACCAGTTAGAAATAAAGAATACAATAACTGAAATGAAGAATGTATTAGAGGGAATCAAGAGTAGATTGGATGGAGCAGAGGATTGAATCAGCAATTTAGAAGATAAGGTAGCAAAAAACACCCAATTAGAACAGCAAAAAGCAAAAAAAAAAAAAAAAATCCTAAAATTAAAAAATGAGGACAATTTGACAGGCCTCTAGGGCATACCAACATTCACATCATAGGGGTACCAGAAGGAAAAGAGAAAGAGCAATTTGAAGAAATAATGACAGAAAACTTACCTAACCTGGCAAATGAAATGGATATTCAAGCCCAGGATGTGCAGAGAGTCCTAAATAAGATGAACCCAAACAGGCCCACACCAAGACACATCATAATTAAAATTCCAAAAGTTAAAGACAAACAGCAAATCTTAAAAGCATCAAGAGAAAAGCAATTAGTTACCTACAACGGAGCTCCCATAAGACTTCAGCTGATTTCTCAACAGGAATGTTGCAGGTAAAAAGGGGTTGTCATGAAATATTGAAAGTGATGAAAAGCAAGAATTCAAAACCAAGATTACTCTACCCAGCAAAGCTATCATTTAAAATTAAAGGAGAAATAAAGAGCCTCCCAGGCAAGAAAAAGCTAAAGGTCAGTATTCACCACCAAACCAGTATTACAAGGAATGTTAGAGGGACTGCTTTAAGATGAAAAAAAAAAGATTAAAAATATGAATAATAAAATGTTAAAATGGCAGTAACTACATATCTATCAACAAGTACTTTAAATGTAAATGGATTAAATACTCCTATCAAAAAATTTAGGGTGGCTTAATGGACAAGAAAGCAAGACCCATACATATGCTGCCTACAATAGAATTATTTCAGATCGAAAGACACACACACACAGACTGAAACTAAAGGGATTGAAAAACTTATTTCATGAAAATGGAAACAAAAGAAAAGCTGGAATAGCAATACATTTACTAGACAAAATAGACTTTAAAATGAAGGCTATAACAAGAGACAAAGAAGAACCTAGTAATCCACTTCCAGGTATTTCTCCAAAGAAATCCAAAACACTGCCTTGGGACTATGAGCACCCATATGTTCATTGCAGTATTATTTACAGTAGCCAAGATAGGAAGACAACCTGTGTGTCCCTGA